GGGGGTGGGAAAGGCCCATTTGGGTCAAAATCACATTTAGACATATTTAGACACACACATATGGGGGTGGGGTGGGGGTGGGCAGTGCTATTTCAATGCAAATCTATGTTCCTGGCAGCTATTCTTGCACAATTTTGTGCAACATTGCTGGGCATAGTTCAACTAAGCGAGAAGTGATTCCATGTCTCATTATAGTAACAGAAGAAAGTTACAGAGACTTTGGATGCCTTTCCAAACTGATGGTAATTCCCAATACCATCAGTTTCCAACATTATTTTTGATTAGTGACATTTTTCTTGATTTAGCAAGTCATTCAATGACAGATTAATAAAGTTGCAGCAAATGAGAGCCAAGCTTCCTGCAGCATTTCCTGATATACTTGACATATTTCTACTGATGCTTTTCCAAGAATAGATCATCCAAGCAAAAAATTATTAAGAAAAACAGGGTAAACCTATTTGCTGATATGTCAGTGCAACTATAGATTATAATGGCATTTTAGGGAGGAGGGTGCAAATTAGCTCAAGTAGTTTCTTTTAAAAAAAGTCTCCCATAGGCTTGATCTTAAATCAGAAGTAGTTTATACTATAAATCTTACTTAAAAATCTTAAACATAGGGATCCAAAGTACAATTTTACTGACAGAGGTTGATTTCAGCCACTGCATGCAGGACAATTAGCAAGTCTTTTCAGCTGCATTGGCAAGTTCTATTGAATAAATGCATTATTTTGCATTATGGTACCAATCTTCATTGTAATGGATACATTGATTTTTTTTAGCCATTATGCTCTAATGACACTGGGGACTCTAAGCCAGCTGCCCAGTCTTCCAGACCTAGTGCTCAATTCTTTGCTACTGTGAGCTATTAGAGAAAATTCAGAAATTGGAACAACATCTTTAATGGCAGAATATTGGCAGTATTTGTAATATGTAGAACTCATACAAGTTATTCTGTATCACATTATTACAATGCCTTAAAAAATCATAATTATATGCCTAGTAAACACACACTTCCGTGTTCTTAATGTGATTTACAATACAAACTAAACACTCCGCTTTATGCTAAATAAAATGGTATAAATTCAGTCAAATGATCATTATTATTTATAATTCAGTCAAATGATAATTATTTATCAAATATAAGCATGATACTATATATAAACAGAGAACAAATCCCACTCCCTCGTAGCAGTGATCATTTTACTTAGTTGGGTAAAGTTTTTCTAATATTTTTAATCTTACGTTTTAATTAGTTGTATTTTATAGCTTTTAACATAATTTTATGTTTTTTAATCTGGCTATATAAATGTTTTAAACAAATAAATAAAATTCCTGCAAGCAAACAACCAAGCTCAGATCGTACCAAGGATTCCATAGTTCATTCTTGAGCTGAATGTATTTTCTTAGTAGTTATTTATTTTCACATGCAAATACTTTATTGGTTCTGCTTTTTTTCAAAGTGGTTTACAAAGGAATATGCATTTAATCAGACTGCAATTGTAGCATTCTATTGAATTGCTTGTGAAGGTCCATGTCTTGCTGCTTGCAAAAGCAAGTACAGGGACAAAAGAGTTGAAGAAGAACAGTGACAAGGATAGCAGTAGTGTTTCCTTGCAGCTTTTTTGCACTTGGCACCCAACTACTCCTTATAAAGATCTTTGCTTCTGTCTTACTGTCAAAATAAAACAACAAATGAACAAATAAACAGAACCTACTGAGCAAATCGATGCGGGCAGTAACATTTTTCATTAAGATGAAGACACAACAGAAAGAATTGAAAAAAACTTTTCTTTTTACTCATAGTCTAAACATCAGAAGCACTGATGTGTAATATGGAGCCTATACTCACCATGGCACCTTTTTTAAAAAATCCAAAACACAGTGCTAATAAAAAGCATGGATCTAGTATGAGCTCTGTTGGCACAGTGGTTACAATGCAGTATTGCAGGCTAATTCTGTTGGCTGACAATTTATTTATTTTATTTATTTGTCAATTGTTTACGAGATAATAAGTAAAAGTGTATACATAATTATGAATACATGAAATGAGTACATATAAGAAAAATGAAAGAAAAATAAAAGAAACAATAGGACAGGGACGGTAGGCACGTTGGTGCGCTTATGCACGCCCCCTACAGACCTCTTAGGAAAGGGGTGAGGTCAATAGTAGACAGTCTAAGGTTAAAGTTTTTGGGGTTTGGGGAAGAAACTACAGAGTCGGGTAGAGTATTCCAGACATTGACCACTCTGTTGCTGAAGTCGTATTTCCTGCAATCAAGCTTGGTGCGGTTAACCTTGAGTTTGTATCTGTTGTGTGTTTTTGTGTTGTTATGGTTGAAGCTGAAGTATTCATTGACAGGTAGGACATTGCAATGTATGATTTTATATACCATGCTTAAATCAGACCGAAGACGGCGTAATTCAAGGTTTTCTAGTTCTAGAATTTCAAGTCTGGTGGCATAAGGTATTCTACAACGAGTAGAGGAGTGGAGAACTCTTCTTGTGAAATATTTCTGGACTTTCTCAATTGTGCTAATATCAGATACGTAATGTGGGTTCCAGACTGATGAGCTGTATTCGAGTATTGGTCTAGCAAATGTTTTGTATGCTCTAGTTAGTAGTGTGATATTACCAGAGAAAAAGCTACGTAAGATTAGGTTAACAACTCTTAACGCCTTTTTGGCTATGTAGTTGCAGTGGGCTCTAGCACTTAGATCATTAGAGGTGAGTATTCCAAGGTCCTTTACAGAGCTTGGATCATCAACAAGATCTTGACTATTCAGCTTGTATTTTATTTTTGGATTTTTTTGCCAATATGTAAGACAGAGCATTTATTTGTTGAGATTTGAAGTTGCCATTTGTTTGACCATTCTGATACACAGTCAAGATCTTTTTGAAGGGTAGCAGTATTGTCTGTGGTATTGAACAGCTTTACATCATCAGCGAAAAGAACGCAGTTGCTCTTAATATGATCACAGAGGTCATTTATGTAGAGTATGAAGAGAGTTGGTCCTAGAACACTGCCTTGGGGGACACCACTATTGACAGGTACAGAATTTGATAGGACACTCCCAATTTTGACCATTTGTTGTCTGTTTGACAGGAATGCTTCTATCCAGTTATGCAGTTGTCCAGAGATACCATAGGATTTTATTTTTAGTAGTAGTTTGTCATGTACCACTGAATCAAAGGCTTTACAGAAGTCTATGTAGATTGCATCTATTGTTTTGCCCTGATCAAGTTGTGTAGTCCATATGTTTTTGCAGTGTAAGAGTTGCAGATTACAGGATAGTTTTTTTCTGAAACCAAATTGTTTATTGGAGAGTAGGTTGTTTGTCTCTAAGTGGAGGATGATGGATTGGTTAATAATTGATTCCATGACTTTACAGGTGACGCAGCATAAGGAGATTGGTCTGTAATTTTCAACTAGGCAAGGGTCTCCCTTTTTGAAGATGGGGATGACTGTGGCTTGTGACCATAGGTTAGGCAAGGAACTGGTCCTGAAAGATTTTTCAAAGAATATGCTTAGAGGTTTGGCTATGGCAGTGGATAACTTTTTTAAGAAATAGGCACATATTCCATCCGGTCCAATAGATAGGGATGGTTTTAGATTGCGTAGTGCTTTTTCAACATTGTCTTCTGTAAAATCGATATGTATTAGATCACTGTAGTTATCTGTGGTTCGGCTAGGAAATGCTGGGCATGATCCATTGCTGTTTACAAATACTGAGCCAAAAAATGTGTTAAAGATGTTGGCTTTAATGGTGTCGTCGTTGCAGTCTTTACCATTAGGTCCTATCAGGGGTGGGATGGACCTTGAATCTTTTAGTTTGTTGTTTACAAAATTGTAAAAAGCATTGGTGGAATTGGTGCTTAGAAGGTTTTCCTCTTGTTTAATGTGATAATTGGTGCATTCGGTCTTTATTTGGTGGCATAAATTTTTGTATCGGCTTTTGAAATTGGCAACGTGACCAGATTTGTTTTTCCGCCAGAGTGATCTCTTTTTGGATTGAAGTTTCCTTATTGTTATGGGCAATCTGTTTTTTTGTTTTGTTTTGGGAGTAGTTGTTGGTACATATAGTTTGATGACTCTTTTGACTTCAAGTAAAAATATGTTGTAATGGTCTTCAACAGTATTGCATCCAGTGAATAGTGATTGCTAATCAAGGGATGAGAGATCGTTGTTTATAAGATCATAGTTGCCTTTTTTGAAGTTATAATTGGGGATCACATCATTGTGGTGGTTTTTGTGTGAACGTATGTTGAGACAAAAGTCAATCATATTGTGGTCACTGCTGGAAAAGGGTTCTTTAGTTTGTATTCCGTAAATTAAATTCAAACTATTGCAGAAGATGAGATCGAGGCAGTTGTTTAGTCTAGTGTTGTTGGATACTAGTTGTTCCAGTCCCAGATTTGTAACAGCATTGTAAAAGGTTGCATGTATGGTTTCAGTTGTACATTCATTTAGGGTCCAGTCAATATGAGGCAGATTGAAATCACCAAGAAAGATAAAAGGGATGGGCAGGATGCTGCCCATGTTAGTAGTGTATTTAGCTTGTTTACATGTTCGATGTCATAATCAGGTGCTCTGTAACATAGTAAGAATCGAATTGTGATATTTAAGGATAGTTCACAGATAATGGTCTCAGGAAGAGCAAGCTCCTGGGTAACTTGGATATTTTTTAGATGTAAGGACTTTTTGTAGAAGATAGCAATACCACCTCCTCTACGAATTTCACGATCTGATCGGTAAACATGATAGTCTCTTACTGTGGTAATGGAGTCGGGGAGAGATGCATTGAGCCATGTTTCACAGACAAATATAATGTCGAATTTAGCCATATTTAGTAGGAGGAAAAATTCAGGTATTTTATTTACAAGGCTTCTTGCATTGAGTAGCTTGCATTTAAGGCCAGCAGTAGTTGGAATTGAGGTAGTTAGGGGCGTGCGTGCCTAGTCTTGGGTGATGGTGGATTGGTTGAGGTAGGGTTGTTTGCCAGTGTTGGAAATGAATCCAAATGACAAAAACTTGGATCGGTGAAAACACAGAGATTTTATTTTGTTAAGCTGTTTGCAAAGAGCGGGGGATCTCAGCTGACTTCAACATGAAGTCTGAGCCAAGAGCCACACCTTAAGATTTCAATACATTACATTTTATAGTTCTTCTATCCCGATGCCCCCCCACGCCCCTCCTACATCGACCCAGTGACTGAGAACAGCTAATCCGAGACACCTTATGTAGACCACATCATCTCCTTTGATACCTCCCAATGACCTCCCATCATATCTTATCTTTCTTGGCATTAAAGAATGTCCCTTCAACAGGATCCCTGTTCTAACGGTCTGAGAACAAAGAAATATCTATTCCTAATACCACACTTGTTACATATTAATGTTACATTCAGCACTTCTTATATGCATTTCTAACATCTATGCAAAGTAAAAGTAAGCTGATGTTTTGAAAAACAAAATCTAACTTCAATTGATTAAAGAAAGTTAGGGTAATGGTTTATTTCTTCTCATATTATCTTCCTAATTGATCTTTTGTTGTGTCAAATGTGTATGTGAATTGCCTTGACAGTTTGAGATACATACCGATTCCTGGAGGAAATAGGGGTGGCATTTCTTGATACAGGAGGATGTAATAGATTGCAGGTACATGTTTAACAATGAGTAAATGTATTAGAAAATACATTTACAGGTTACATCAAGATAGTAAATGTCCATAGAGCAACTGTCTTCTTAATACTATTCTATTCACCTACATTTTATTTTTGAATTTTCTTATTTCTAACACCAGCAGTTCAAATCTCATCAGGCTCAAGGTTGACTCAGCCTTCCATCTTTCTGAGGTTGGTAAAATGAAGACCCAGATTGTTGGGGGCAATATGCTGACTCTGTAACCACTTAGAAAGGGTTGTAAAACACTGTGAAGTTATATATAAGCCTAAGTGCTATTGCTATTATGTTGTTAGCTGCAAAGTCATGTCCGACCCATCGTGACCGAATGGACAACATTCCTCCAGGGCTTCCTGTCCTCTACCATCCTCTGGAGTCCATTTAAGCTCACGCCAACTGCTTCAGTGATTCCATCCAGCCACTCATTCTCTGTCATCCCCTTCTTCTATTGCCCTCAATCGTTCATTGCTATTCTAGTTATAGTTTAAAGGTGAAATTGAATCCATTTTTTTTCTAATGACCACTTTCCATATCTATGCAATTTTCCTGGCATTTAAATCAAGAGGGCTTTGTCATTGCCTCTTTTTTCTTTTGTATAATTTTCTAGCCCAGCCTACGAGAGTTTCCTGGTTTTCCATTAGTGGATCTGGCCTGACCTACTGAACTTCTGAGCTGAGACTGGGTTGCACACATTCAGCTAGACACACTAGACATAAAATGGTTCTTGTTGAATAACAAAGCTGTCGAGGCACCTTAAACAATTCTATTCTTAAGCAAGCATTTTCTTTGTCCTTGTGAAGTGGTCACTTCCACAAACAAGTAGAAAAGTAGAAATGAATTAATTGTGCTGATTTCCAGTTACCACTTACCTTCTTGATTAGTGTTATATCGTGGGAATGAGACTCAGGACACCAGAGTAGTAACCAGTTGTCTTTATTTCATTCTAGGACTGAGCGCCAAAGAAACTGTGGCAGCCCTTTTACATTCGGGCTGCTCACAGCTGTGACCAGTGATGGCTCTTCAAATTTCCCACTGCCACGGACCGACAGGCAGGTAAGTATGTTAATACATAACACCCCTCCCCACCTGGTCTGGTCCAACCAATCTGAGCCTCACCTACCGTACGTAATCATGTAGGTAGGCAGGGCTTTTATGGGTCTGACTGGACCTGCACAACTCAGTCATGGTTTGGCCTCTTGATCGTTCAGACGGATCTGATGTTCCTCCCATCCTTCTTCTTGGAACCTCGTGGAAGGTTGAGTCGGCCATGCCGCTCCCGCCAGGAGTTTCCTGCCAGGGACTGCTTTCCCACTATCCTTCTTGACCTGTTCCTGTCTCCCCAATCTTCCTTCTTCCCTGGTCCCAGGTACGTGCTTGCGTTTTCCAACTGGGGCTAATGTTAGTGGTTGTTGTTGTGTGTTTGTAGTTGTCAGAGTTTGTTCTGTTGTTCTTTTTGCTCGTGGAGGGTCTCCCCCTCCCTCTCTCCTTGTGTTTAAGGGGTCTCCCCCCTCCCCTATGGTTATGTTTGAGGGGTCTCCCCCCTCTTCTCTGAATTTGTTTGAGGGCTCTTCCCCCTCTTCCATGGTTTGGTTTGGGTCGCCCTTTGTAACTCTAGATCTGAGCTGGTCTATGTGTTTCTTCCAGCTCCTCCCATCCGTGGTGTCTCCCATGTACGAACAGGGTCCGGTTATCTGGGTCACCTTCTCCGGTATCCACAATAATTCCCCTGTAAGGTTTTTTGCGTATTCTGGGTCCCCTGTTTGAAATGTGCGGCTATTACTGGAGGAGTCTGCTGGTTTTTCTGGGCTATCTGTGGGGTGCAGTCTGTCTAGGTGTGATCTTAGTTTCCTCCCCATTAGTAATTCTGCTGGACTTTTATTTGTTGTGGCACAGGGCTGCACAGCACACACATGTGCTGTATGCTTGGTAGCTTATCTATCTTTTCTTGTGTGTCCCCAGGCCCCAGCTTTTGTAATGTTTCCTTAGTGTAACGTATCATGCGTTCCACCCATCCGTTCGTCGACAGGTGTCCCGGCGCTGTCAGCCTTATTCCATGTTGTGCTAGAAATCCCTTGAATGTTGTTGCTGTGAATTGTAGCCCATTGTCAGATACAATTACATCCGGCAATCCATGTGTTGCAAAAAGTTTCCTGAGCTGTCTAATGATGGCTTCTGTTGTGGTGGAGTGCATGATGTTTACCTCTAGCCATTTGGAGTAAGTGTCTACAACTATTAGAAATGTGTATCCTTTGGTTGGACGCACAAAATCAATGTGTAATCTTGACCATGGTCCCCTTGGTGTTTACCATTCATATTTTGGTGCTGTGAGGGGTGTTGGCCTAGATTCCTGGCAGCGTTTACACGTTGCCACCCAGTCCCCTATTTCCTTATCCATCCCTAGCCACCATACATAACTCCTTTCCAGGGATTTCACTTTTACAATACCCGGGTGTCCCTCATGTAGCATTTCTAGTATGCTTTTCCTTAAAATGTCCTGTATGACCACCTGATCCCCCCATAGTACACACCCCTTCAGCATTGAGAGTTCTGTTTGTCTATTCTGAAACGGTTTGGCGGTCTCATCAATCTCAGTCTCTGGCCATCCTTTTCCTACCCAATTTAAAATTTGCGCCAGGGTTTTTTCTCTAGTCATTTCCCAGCAATGTCTGCTGCTGTTATGGGTAGGTTTTCTAATGTCTCTATTTGAAAGGTCAATGTGGTTGGTGCTGGATTGTCTTCTATGTCAGGTAGAGGGCAACTGCTAAGTGCGTCAGCATGATTTATGTCCTTTCTGGGTGGGTATGTTAATTCGTAGTTGTAGGCAGCAAAGAATTCCGACCACCGTGTCATTCGGGGTGACAGTATATTAGGTGTAGCTTTGTTTCCTGCGATGATGCCCAGGAGTGGCTTGTGATTTGTGACTAGGGTAAAAATTCTCCCATAGATATATTCGTGGAAATGCTTTATTCCAGTGACAGCGGCCAATGACTCTTTGTCTAGTTGGCTGTATTTCCGCTCCGGCTTTGACAGGGTTTTTGAATAGAATGCTATGGGTGCTTCTTTCCCATCTGGTAATATATGGCTGAGGATAGCGCTGACACCGAAAGGTGATGCATCGCAGGTTAGGGTTATTGGGAGTGTTTTGCTGTATTGTATTAGTACGCGGTCTGATGTGATCAAGTTTTTTATTTCCTGGAATGCCATTTCTTCCTGTCACCCTCAGGCCCAGGTTGCTTTCTTGTCAAGCAACCTGTGTAGTGGTTGTGCAATTGTTGCTTTCTGTGGTAGGAATATATTATAAAAGTTAATGAGTCCTAAGAAAGCTTGCAGATCAGTTTTATTTGTGGGTCTGGGGGCTTCTTTGATTACTCTGACTGTGGATTCCTTCGCTGTCTATAAAGTATCCCAGGAATTCAACTTTGCTGGCAGCTTATTGGCACTTCTCCTTTTTTGCTTTTAGTCCCGCCTCCTTGAATTTACTTAGGACTTCCCTTAGGCGGTCCTGCAATTGTTCTTTGTCCTTGGCTGATATGAGGACATCATCAAAGTATGGCACCACCCCTTTTATTCTCTGCAATAGGCATTCCATTAAGCTCTGGAACACCCCTGGGGAGATGCTGACACCAAACTGTAATCTGTTGCATTTGAATGTCCTCCTGTGCGTTACGATTATCTGGGCTTCTGCTGTTTTGTGGTCGATGGTTAAGTGTTGGTAGGCCTGTGCAAGGTCTAGTTTTGTGAAGATTCCCCCCCCCCCCAACAAGGGAATATAACAGATGCTGTACCACTGGGACAGGGTATGCGCTTTGTTGGAGTGCATCGTTAAGGGTTGCTTTGTAGTCTCCACAGATGCGCACAGACCCATCTGGTTTAATTGGTGTAACAATTGGGGTTTCCCACTTTGCATGGACAATTGGCTCTAGAACCCCTTGTGCGATGAGTTTATTCAATTGCTCATTGATCTTTGGTTTGAGTGCGAAAGGAACCCACCTTGCCTTTAACCTTATAGGGGCTATGGTTGGGTTCATATTAAAGGAAATTGGGGACCTCCAGTATTGCCCAGCTCTCTGTTGAACACGCCTTGGAATTCTTCCATCAAGTTCTCTTCCCACTCTGTCTTGGTGATACTGTTTATTCCTGTGACTTCGATTCCCAAAGGTGCAAACCAGTGGGCTTGGCCAATTCCTATCGACTATGGTTAGTGGGAGGACTCTGCTGTATTTTTTGAATGTTACCTTGAATTTTCCGGTGCCCACTATGGGTATTTTGTTTTTCTGGTAGTCTTTCAGCGTCAGTGTTTGTCTTTCAACTTCTTCCTGGTTTATGTTTGGGAGCAGTCTTTTTATCGTGTCCCATGATACCATTGACAAATATGAGCCAGAATCCACTTCCATCCGACAGGGTTGGTCCTTTATGGTTACCTGAACATAGTCTTTCCTGGCGT